AGGGATTGTAAAGAGACGGATGCTGTGTCGACTGTGTGCCTGATATTAGGATATCGATATCGATACAGAGGGATTGTAAGAGAGAGACGGATGCTGTGTCGGCTGTGTGTCTGATATTAGGATATCGATACAGAGGGATTGTAAAGAGACGGATGCTGTGTCGGCTGTGTGTCTGATATTAGGATATCGATACAGAGGGATTGTAAAGAGACATGCTGTGTCGGCTGTGTGCTGTGTCGGCTGTGTGTCTGATATTAGGATATCGATACAGAGGGATTGTAAAGAGACGGATGCTGTGTCGGCTGTGTGTCTGATATTAGGATATCGATACAGAGGGATTGTAAAGAGACGGATGCTGTGTCGACTGTGTGTCTGATATTAGGATATTTATACAGAGGGATTGTAAAGAGACGGATGCTGTGTCGGCTGTGTGTCTGATATTAGGATATTTATACAGAGGGATTGTAAAGAGACGGATGCTGTGTCGGCTGTGTGTCTGATATTTATACACAGGGATTGTAAAGAGACAGATGCTGTGTCGGCTGTGTGTCTGATATTTATACACAGGGATTGTAAAGAGACGGATGCTGTGTCGACTGTGTGTCTGATATTAGGATATCGATACAGAGGGATTGTAAAGAGACGGATGCTGTGTCGACTGTGTGTCTGATATTTATACACAGGGATTGTAAAGAGACAGATGCTGTGTCGGCTGTGTGTCTGATATTAGGATATTTATACACAGGGATTGTAAAGAGACGGATGCTGTGTCGACTGTGTGTCTGATATTAGGATATTTATACAGAGGGATTGTAAAGAGACGGATGCTGTGTCGGCTGTGTGTCTGATATTTATACACAGGGATTGTAAAGAGACAGATGCTGTGTCGGCTGTGTGTCTGATATTAGGATATTTATACACAGGGATTGTAAAGAGACGGATGCTGTGTCGACTGTGTGTCTGATATTAGGATATTTATACAGAGGGATTGTAAAGAGACGGATGCTGTGTCGGCTGTGTGTCTGATATTAGGATATTTATACAGAGGGATTGTGAAGAGACGGATGCTGTGTCGACTGTGTGGTAACTATTAGCCAGGATACTCTAAATAGGCAGATTCATTACAGTTGAAGGAATGTAAATCAATTTTCACAAACAAAATCTGAATATATCAATACATTCAGCACTAATATAGTAGTTCATTAAATTGATAACTATTTTGCTAAAAAAAAACTAAAAAAAAAAAAAAAAAACAAAAAACAAAAAAAAAAAAAATAAAATAAAATCGAGATAAGCAGCTGAAGTAGAAGAAATGTTTCTGTTATTAGTGGCAAACTATCCATGTTGGCTGCAGTGCATTTAAGGGTTGTGGTAATTCGTCTTCAAAACGCAAATAACTTACTATGGAACTGAGGGTCAAGGATTTTGTTGGCAGTTCTCGGTCCTGTATGGAATCAAACCTCAAGCCACAAGGCTGAGAAAGCAAAGCGCCAATATGTCTCATAGCAATGTTGATGGATAGTTCACGGATTTTAAAAGCAAACGGAATTAAAGTGTTGTCAACCAGAACTTTCAGATATCTGTTTTACTCTCTTATAAGTACAATAATGTGTTTCATCTTGAGTTGATAGCCACATAGCCATAGATTTGAAAAGAGTACCTACGTAACAAGAAAATGAAGGAGTTAGTGAGATTAAAAAATAGCATTGCAGTGTATATATTCGCGAACTATTTTCATACTGCACCTGTGTGAAGTTTCCATCAGCCACTTTACGTGTCTAAGGAATTAAATATTGGAGCTGCTAATTTCTGAGTTCTACGTTGGTTGGGGTACACTAAATACAGCTGTAGTTTCCTACCGTCTTTCTTAGAAAAAAAATCATGATGGAAAATATCCCCCTGCATGTGCTAATTTTTTTTTTATCTTGCACAATGTTCTTCTGGGCATTCATTACGCGAAACTGCTGTTTCCATGGTGATTCGAATAAGATTTGTTGTTAACATAATCGTGGTTGATTTACGTCAAAACGATTTATTTCGTGAAAAACTTTTCAGTAAATTAAAAATAAAAGTTTGACGGAGTTCTCGTCTAAAGGGACAATTTTAACTGAGGCATTGTAACAAGTCAGCGTACAATATACATTTATAGTGATCGAAGCAATTCTTGTTTTCGATGATGAGCGATGAAATTATGTCGACCTTCGTCTATCACTTAATAGGCTAATGTCGAGTGGTTTGTAGATCACACGTTTAGGTAATATCGACGTGTTCGTTTATCACGTGAGGCATAATATCGACGTGTTCGTTTATCACGTGAGGCATAATATCGACGTGTTCGTTTATCACGTGAGGCGTAATATCGACGAACCAGTTTACAAACGAATCAGGATAATTTCGGTGTGTCTATTTGCAACATAATCGTGTTTTAAGGACGATCCTCTTTATCATCGGGTTGAAAAATGTCGACTGTTGATGTTTCTGTTTATCACGTGATGGGGTATCGTCGATCGACCTGTTTATCACGTGATGGGGTATCGTTGATCGACCTGTTTATCACGTTATGGGGTATCGTCGATCGACCTGTTTATCACGTTATGGGGTATCGTCGACCGGCCTGTTTATCACGTAATGGGGTATCGTCGACCGGCCTGTTAACACGTGATGGGGTATCGTCGATCGACCTGTTTATCACGTAATGGGGTATCGTCGACCGGCCTGTTAACACGTGATGGGGTATCGTCGACCGGCCTGTTTATCACGTGATTGGGTATTGAAGAAGTGTCTGATTATCAGATGACGGGGAGATGTCGACGGATCTGTTTATCACGTGATGGGGTATCGTCGACCGGCCTGTTTATCACGTGATGGGACTTCGTAGACAAATCTATTGATGACTTTATAGGGAAATGTTTACCATGTGATTGGGTGTTATCGACAGCCGGTGATTGCATAATGTAAACGGGCGTGTTCATCACGTGATAAAGTTATTCCGACAGATATGTGCATAGTGTGATTGAGTGATATGGATGTCTATATCTGTTAATCACGTTATCGGTTGAAAGGAATAATATTTTATGAATATTTATTAATTAATTGCTTAACTGGGTGTTTGCCACGTCGTCTACCAAGCAGTGTTTCTCGGCGCGACTGTTCATCATATGAGGGTAATGAACGCGTTCTTCTACACGTGGTGGGTGATCGGTGCAGCTGTTTACCCCGTGGTCATGGTGGACGCGTGCGTCTGCACGTGGAGGGTGATTGGCAAGGCTATTTACCACGAGGTGATTGTAGACGTATGCGTCTACACATGGTGGGTGATTGGCGCAGATGTTTACCACGTGGTGTTGATGGACGTGTGCGTCTACACGTGGTGAGTTATAGACACATCGGTTTACCACGTGATCGATGATTGACGCCACATCGCTGACATCTTTCACACTATCTCATTAAAACAGCGATCATTTCTCAGTTAAATGTGTTGAGGTATGCTGTAGAGCTCTGTCATCAGAAATTGATCCCAATACATCAACTCCAGTAACGACACAAAAATGTAAAAATTGAGAGTCCCACAGAGATTACTAAACAGGTGAGATTTTCAATATTTTACAGCAAATATCACACAACTGGGGTCAATATTTCTCAGTAAACCAACACATCTGTCATTATTTTAAAAGTATGGCGAGATTAAATTTTGTAATCAACGAGTGCGAAATACCATCGAAGATGTTTTTGCACAGTAAACAATACGTCGTAAAGTGTTTAACGGCCAGACGTAACGCTAGCAATGTGTGTTACAGAGTGAACCATGCTCTACTCTCAATTGTTAGCATAAACTCGTCAATTTTAAAATAATTTGTATCCAGGTCACTTAACCAATACATCATCGGCGCTAGGACAGACAAACCATTCATCTAAGGAAAATCGTTCTTGCTCTGTCGTCATGAACTCCAGGAAAAAGAAAACAGCAAACTTAACTTTCCTTTTCCAACAATTTGAACCCGTGCTTTTTTTTCTTTTAAAATTTGTATGATCTGTAACTTCTAGTTTAATACCTCTCTGTGGCTCTTTGAGTTTCCCCAGATTGTCTATCCTACAGAGAAAAGTTCAGGCTGTCTTCAAATTGAACTAAGAGATGTACCTTCTAGTAGATTATTAATACTATTTCCTGCCAATACTTGATACTATGTAGTATTCACGACAACATTTTACCTCACAGTGACAGCGTACATTTGTGTGTAACACTAATCATAGTGGTAATGTGGAGTATTTACAGGGAATTAAGACTGAAATGGCACACAAAGGATGTTTGATCAACAACGTTTATCATCACCATTCCAGACTTTTTAATTAAACATTGTAGTGTTAAATCCCAATGTGCAATTAAGACTTTAAAAAGCACGAACTGATTAAGTATAATGGATAAGAGGACTTTTCGGTTAATGTAAGGCCTCTAAAAGGAGACATTTTCAATGTATAACTTCACCCGAGAGGAGAACCTATCAGATTGGTACAATTGTGATTCTATAAGTCTTCCTCTCATCATCGTACAACGGGTACTTTGGTATCGTTACCTGGTATACATCCTAGGGCCCTCCATCACCTGATCTGGTGGTTATACACAATCATTTACATGGAAATAAAAACTACAAAACGAAAACAAATATCATAGATGAGGTAATTATTGAAATCAACCCTCAGCGAGTGTACCCACTAGCTTTGCCTTCAGAGTACTGGTGTCGATAACATTAATATTGATTGTCAGGGTTTTTAAAACTCAGCCTGACATTTTGCTACAACATAAAAACCTCATAGAAAATATAAAAAAATCCAATCAGAGACCCAAATTTATGTCTTTGGGGACAAAACAATTATTCATAAACCATTACACAAAAGTTAGTAGGAACCTGCATAAACAATGAATTGATGCTTATCATATTTATCCTGAATACAACAAATAGTTGTAACATGATCCTAATTAATTAACAACCTTAAGTACTCACCTGTAATTTTCATTGATCGCCAGGGACCTCCTCCTGTGCTCGGATATTATCCGTAAGTTCTCGAGAAGCATTGCCTGGGTTTTATCAGGGTGTTTCATACTGAATGACCAGCGGTCAAATAACTAAAACAATCATCCAGAAGACTAGACGCAGAGAATATTTCCCAAGTATATAGAGCACGTGTCGGCTTCAATGTATATAAAAACTAAACAACGTATGTTCTATAGAATTCCCATGGAATCTAAAGAAACTGTCATTGTATTCCTTTCGTAAGTATAACTGTGTTTTTTGTTTTTTTTGTTTTCAGTGACCGCTTAACGCCAGAATATGATATTCACATGTTTGAAAATCGTTTACATCCCTACCGCGCAGTGGTGAAAACCGAACGACCACGGAACAACATCATTTCACGTATATGGTCAGTCACTTAATGAACGAGAATTTACATCCCAAAGAGCACCGGCACACAAGTATCACCTTATAGCAAGCTGCTGGGTACTCGACAGTTCAATACACAACACACTAATGACCCAGTAATATGTATTGCTGACAGATATCCACAACCGGATAGACAGCGGTCAATCAGAGACGTCCATCATTACCACCACTGGAAAAGTGCAGCTTATGCGGAAGACTGCTGAGTAAAGCCCCCTAGGCTTGTGTGAGCTGTTGACAATGATGGTATAACGACGCTCAAGAGATTATCTAAACGCGAACGCGAAACACACCATTCAATCAACGGCAGTATCGAAAATATATGACTTTATTAAACTTATATTCATACCTGAGTGAATTTCAAGGAGATCTGCAATGAAAATTGTGCAGGGCCATTTGCTTGCCAAGCTTAATCACTGTATAGAAGCCATCATTTTGCTCATTTAATCAATTCCACATATTGCTGTGAGCGAACCTCGTGTGTCTTGGCAACATCGCCATTATATTAAGAGTTCTTCTATTCACCAGAATGATGCCATGTGTTTACGATGTAAAACTCGGAATATGTCTCACCAGGGGACATGTTGTTGATCCGTTGGCTATCCGAAGAGAACAAACCACCTGCAATCAGCGCAAACATTGATCTGAGAAATGACACGGTGTTACATAAGTGGGCTCGGAGATACAACTGCTCCTTTCAAACAGATATTCAGATTATACCATAGAGGGAGAACATCGGAGGAATAATCATAATAGTTCTTGTCGTCTGCTTCGCCTATTGTTTTGTGTGCTGTCCACCTAACATTGTCGTCTGCTTCGCCTATTGTTTTGTGTGCTGTCCACCTAATATCTGTCAGTGCCACCTTCTAATCCGTTCGCTATCACAGCTTCAGATGAGACTTGCGGGCTATGATACAGCCCACGTGCCCTTACATGACTGATAAGCATCTGAAACTATATGGGACCATTGGTGAAAGATGTCGTCTGCTTCACTTGCCAGGCACCTGTAGAGATAATAAAATGACTTGTTATTGATTCGTAGGGACTTTTATGTAACATCTTGCTAAATATCCGCATTTTAAAAAAAGTAATATTTTAATACATTTGTTTTTAAATTGTGATATTTCCAGACCGATTGCAAAGATGAAAGCGCAGGGGATATGAATGAATACAAATAACATTAAATATTCTTTTTGAATATTGTATACAGTGTTAAAATCATACCTAACACTTTACTGAATGTTATCGCATACGAGAGACAAAACAACACTACAATAAATAGGATTCCCATTTACACAAATTTGATTTACAAAAAGGTACTTACTACACATTTATAACCAGAATGAAGTAAAGTACTGTATGTAATCACTTTGTAGATGACGAAAAACATTTCACACAAATAAAATTTTACATTGATTACATTCACAAACAACCGCAAACTATCGCTACATATGCAGCTAATATTTCAGTACATAGTATACCAAATAACAAAGTAAAACACAATGAATTTCGTTTTGGATCTATCCGTCCACGTATCAATACTTCTTTAATTCTGAATACTGAGAGCACTACGTGTACAGTGCTCATTTTTTGTTTTTAAGAATACTATTCGTTTAACGTATTCTGTACAACGCGAAGATACTTAATAATCTTTTCCGTTCCCGAGATATGGAGTAAACCTGAAAAGCAGAAGCAGGTTCAGAAAATAAGGACTACCTTAGTTTATATATTACTCAATATCTAAAACTAACGTATTGGTTAACCGAAATTCTCTAGTTCTCCGTCTGGATTTACAAAACGGAAGAGTACCTGTATCTGAAGAGACCTCACAACGGAAAAAACACTATGCAGTTTTATTCTCTTATTTTGCATTTATCACTTAATGTACATCTTAATTCATTTTTGAATGATATTTTGAAATGGGTATCGAGTGTCTTTGTCTAGTAAGCAACAATCAACAAACTGAGACGTAAACTACAGACATAGAGACACAATGTAATAACAGGACAAATAAAGAAACAACTTTTAAAGGAAAGGTGAACAGAACAGAAAAAGACGAAAGACAGAAACTAAGTAAACCTCGCGTTGGAAATAAAAAAAACAAACATACAGAAGAGACTTCACAACGGAATACAAAAATACAAACCAAGGAGACCTTGAAACGGAATACAAAAATACAAACCAAGGAGACCTTGAAACGGAATACAAAAATACAAACCAAGGAGACCTTGAAACGGAATACAAAAATACGAACCAAGGAGACCTTGAAACGGAAATAAAAAATAGAAATCGAAGAGACCAAAGAGACCATATAATGATGGTAAGATACAAATCAGGGAAGTCACACAACGGAAACAAAACCACCATAAAAACACAACAGAAACAAAACCACCATAAAAACACAACAGACGACAAAACCACCATAAAAACACAACAGACGACAAAACCACCATAAAAACACAACAGACGACAACACCACCATAAAAACACAACAAACGACAACACCACCATAAAAACACAACAGACGACAAAACCACCACAAAAACACAACAGACGACAAAACCACCACAAAAACACAACAGACGACAAAACCATCATAAAAACACAACAGACGACAACACCACCATAAAAACACAACAGACGACAAAACCACCACAAAAACACAACAGACGACAAAACCACCATAAAACACAACAGACGACAAAACCACCATAAAACACAACAGACGACAACACCACCATAAAAACACAACAGACGACAAAACCACCATAAAACACAACAGACGACAAAACCACCACAAAAACACAACAGACGACAAAACCATCATAAAAACACAACAGACGACAAAACCACCATAAAAACACAACAGACGACAACACCACCATAAAACACAACAGACGACAAAACCACCATAAAACACAACAGACGACAAAACCACCACAAAAACACAACAGACGACAACACCACCATAAAAACACAACAGACGACAAAACCATCATAAAAACACAACAGACGACAAAACCATCATAAAAACACAACAGACGACAAAACCATCATAAAAACACAACAGACGACAAAACCATCATAAAAACACAACAGACGACAAAACCACCATAAAAACACAACAGACGACAACACCACCATAAAACACAACAGACGACAAAACCACCATAAAACACAACAGACGACAAAACCACCACAAAAACACAACAGACGACAACACCACCATAAAAACACAACAGACGACAAAACCATCATAAAAACACAACAGACGACAAAACCATCATAAAAACACAACAGACGACAAAACCATCATAAAAACACAACAGACGACAAAACCATCATAAAAACACAACAGACGACAAAACCACCATAAAAACACAACAGACGACAAAACCACCATAAAAACACAACAGACGACAAAACCACCATAAAAACACAACAGACGACAAAACCACCATAAAAACACAACAGACGACAAAACCACCATAAAAACACAACAGACGACAAAACCACCATAAAAACACAACAGACGACAAAACCACCATAAAAACACAACAGACGACAAAACACCGGACAGATCAAAGAACACATGTAAAACAGGAAAGAGATCACAATTAAAACCATCAGGAGGAAGAAATAAGTGACATCGGGATCACAGCGAAACAAGAGACGACCAAAAAATGCCCCATCCAAGGAAGCTTAAATGATAGGTTTTCCCCCATGGACTCCGGGGCGAGGGACAACGGCAAACGCTGTTTTGATACCTCTGTGTGGTTTTCATATTAGTGACCAAGTTTGATTTTATCGACCTGACGATTCTTGGGTCGAGGATGAAAATGTGAAAAGTTTATAGACGTTGGTCGTCCAGATGACGTGTTGATGACTCGTGGAAGGAGGTTCAAAGGGTCCATACTGGTATAAAAAAGTTGATAAAAGTTACAAATACGAAGTGACACTTGATTCTTTTGTCAGTATTATGGGATCTGCCCAAGAATTTCCGTACCCTCCTCTCGAATCCTGTAGGCTAAGCGGTACTTCCAGACCTGGAGGCTAAGCGGTACTTCCAGGCCTGGAGGCTAAGCGGTGCTTCCAGACCTGGAGGCTAAGCTGTACTTCCAGACCTGGAGGCTAAGCGGTACTTCCAGACCTGAAGGCTAAGCGGTACTTCCAGGCCTGGAGGTTAAGCGGTACTTCCAAACCTGGAGGCTAAGCGGTACCTCCAGACCTGGAGGCTAAGCTGTACTTCCAGCGACGGATATTTATGCCAATTTGATCCATATCTCGATCATTTCATCATTGATTTTTCTTGGACGATACACCGCCAAAAACTAGTGGTGACCTCAAAACCAAAATACGAACATGTCAATATAATCATAATCCAAACTCAAATTCAAAACAACTAGGGCAAAATATGAACGAAAGAAATATTTACACCGATACTTCTGATAAAACGGAGAGAATAAGATCAGATGTTCCGGAAGAGTAAGCGTCTTCTGTTTCAATAACGACACCCACTATGTAAATCTTAATCAATATAAGTAAATAATGTCATGCTCTCAAATGGAACCAGCTGGCAAATTAACGAGCATCAAACACATGCAGCTTCATATCGCATACAAAAATAAAATAGAAACCATGTGTTGTGGTTTTGTCAGTTGACGAAATCTTGCAACAAAACTTTAATGATAATAACAGACCCTAGAATATTGAATCAACTGTGACATGTAAATATCGTAGAATCTGTGGATAGGTCATATGTCTTGTGCGCCTGAAGTTGGTTCCCAATCCCTCGTTCCTAGTTTCGTTTTGCCTTCAACGGAACTAGGAACTGGGGACCAAGTTTAGGCGCCCACATGTCTTCACAAAATTCAGAAAAAGGTGATAGTAAAAAACTAAAGTCTGTAGATAAATATTGTTTCCACAATCTGGTACCGTCTGTAGATAAATATTGTTTCCTACAATCTGATACCGTCTGTAGATAAATATTGTTAACTACAATCTGATACCGTCTGTATATAGATATTGTTTCCTACAATCTGGTACCGTCTGTAGATAAATATTGTTTACTACAATCTGGTACAGTCTGTAGATGAATATTGTTACCGTTGATCTGGTACCGTCTGTAGATGAATATTGTTATCGTTGATCTGGTACCGTCTGTAGGTCATTAATCTGGCAGATAATACATTTTTTGTACATCGGCATTAGGCATCGAGAACTTATAAACTGACTCCACATAACAATCAATGTTTTTATCGTTTTTAATCAGGATTCGTTTTGGTAGCACAGACATCAAGTGCTAATTTCCGTCACGCACATACAAAAAACGACAGGATCATCATGAATGAGAACATACTCTTAATCCACACTCAAATTCACTAAAACATGGTCAAAATATGATAAAAAGAAAGATTTACACGGAAACTCAGGAATAATTACAATGAGAATAAAACCAGGTGTTTCGGAAAAGTTAGCGTCTTACCGGCATATAAATCTTTGTCAATCCGAGTAATAATGTCATGTTCTAAATGAGAACAAAGTATACAACAACGGAACCAACAGGCAAATCAGCATCAAACACGCCCAGCTTTCTATCGTACACAAAATAGAATATGTCTCAATGAGATCACTATGGTGACCATACATGTAAAATTTCCCCATGATTTTCATCAGTCTGCCTCTTTTGAAATCCTGTGTTTTCCGTAATTTGAAAACTTTTTGCACGAAAATCGTAATAAATGGAACAGACCCTTGAATATCGAATCAGCTATGATATGTTAATTCAATAGGTTTCAGAAACAGGAATGTTGCAATGCAGAAAGGTAAAATTTACAATAGGAAAATTGAAATCATCACCCTTATCATGCAACTTGGTGGAAAGCTGTCCATGTTGGTTTCGTTGTTGGAAAAGATCGAGATAAACGGCTGATGTCGTGTCCTTGATTTCCAACCAAAGCCAATACAAAGCGGTTGTTAGCATAAGCAGTTCTCAAACACAGTC